TATCCATCGAAAACGCCGCTCGCAGAGATCTCCGAGGGCCCCGGAAAACCACCGCGCGCAATTGCTCGCCGAGGGAGGCAATCGCGGTGCTTTCCCGGCCTCAGCGCGTAGCAGGCTGGGAAATTACCGCCCCATTTCCTCCCCCATTTGAGCGCGGGCGCCTGGCGCCGTGCCGGGGCGCGCGGACGGGGCCCGAGATGAATTCTCCGATTTTTCTACCCGAGAAGTAAGATCGTCGATAGATAGACGCACCGGTGCCAACGCATTCTCCAGACGTTCTTTCGATGCCCCATGCCCCGTTGCAAGGGCAGCGTCGGCGGGGATGGGGCCCGATTGCGTCTTCGATCAGTTCTCGATTGCACCCGCAACAGCATTTGACGAAGAAGAACCACTGCAGCGCGCGAGGGGCTCTGACTTAGTTCCAGCTGCTGTTGCCAGATTTACTTGGAATTGGCCTTGGCGACGCTGCGCTTGAGAACCATTAGGAACGCCTTCTGCTTCCGTAGCTGCGCCCGCGTCCTGCGAAGGGCTGCTTCTCCAGGCCTGCTTCAAGACGCTCTTCACTGAACCCCCCCACATGGCGCTTATCCGCGGGCATCACGAAACCAGAAAAGCTGATTGCAGCGCTAGCGACTTGCATGGGCAAGCGCAAGCGGAGTGCATCGGCATTGATAGCGATGAAGAGCCTGGTCTCGGGAGCCCAGTGGATCGGGCCGCTGGAATCACGTTGGTCACTTGTTCCCGCATGCAGGGTGCCACATAATGGGGCCTAAGATCGCGCCCGTATGCGCGACGTCCCCACATGCTGGGCCCCACTTAAGGTAACCTACGATCGTGCCCGTATACAAGGCGTTCCCTCATGCTGGGCCCCACGTCGTGAGGCCTAAGGTCGTACCCGCATGCGCGACGTTCCCGCATGCTGGGCCCGTCTTGACGGGACCTGAGATCGTCCTCGTAAGCAAGACGCTCCCGCTTGCTGGGTGCCACTTCGCGGGGCCGACCAGCTGCTCCAGGAGTGCACCTCCAACCACGTTGCGGTCCTGGCCCTGCTGGATGCAGCCGTGATCCCCCTGGGGAGATGCTGAAGGCCACCACCGTAGTCGCCTCGTCGCCGCTGATATGGGGCGTGGCGTTGGCAATATTTGCCTGGGCCACCTCGGCGCTCGACTCCGCGAGCTGCTGCGTGACGATGTTGGGCTTCTCGGTGGCCGACTGGAGCTGCTCGGTGAGCGTGTCGACCTCCGTCTGGAGCTTGGCCCTCTCGGCCTCGCGGGTGGCCTGGCGGTCCAACGCCGAGCGCAGCACGTCGGCAGGCGACATGCGCGCGCGCTCGGCGGCCTCGGATGAGCAAGCTCCGCCCTTGCAGCAACCACGAGCCGATGCCTATCGTCGTAGATGCCCCGCAGCACCTTCAGGGCCTTCCTGCACTTGGCCACGGCGTGGGTTCCGTGCTGCTAGAGCCGACGCCGATGGCCCCCGCGGCCTCGCGCGCACCGCCCCAAACACACCGCGATCAGCACCAGCTCAGCGAGGCCTGCCAGCCGAGCGGGGCCTGGCGGGCTGGGGCGCTCCCTCGTGCCTGCGGGCCTGCCGCGGAGGGTCCCTGCCGCAGGCCCCCGCGGCGTTGTTGGCGAAGCCGCAGGCCCGAGTGGCCACGCACGCCCAGGTTTTTTTCTAACGCTCGACCTCTGCTTGACCCCCAACGAGTGGGGACCACCTCTCCTCACAGCACAGTCCAGGGAGAGGGCAAAAACTGTACGTTCTTCTCCCTCTTGATCTGCTGTGGGTGTCGGCCTTGGACTACGTAGTTCCAGGTGGGGCCGCCACCGCCTCTGGAGGGCGCGGCGCGCCGCGGGGGAGGGCAGGCCGCGGCGGCCTCCCTGCCAGCGTCTGGCGAGCCTCCTCCTCGCGGGGGGACCCGGCGGGCCGAGGCTCTCCGGCGATGGCCGCCGGCCGGCGGGGGCCAGAGGAGTGCGTCCGCCGCGCGCCCCCGCGCACGCGGGAGCCCAAATGGCAACATGGAGGAGGAACACGCGGAAGAGGGAGAGGAGGAGGAGGAGGAGGAGGAGGAGGAGGAGGAGGAGGAGGAGGAGAAGGAGGAGGAGGAGGAGGAGGAGGAGGAGGAGGAGGTGGAGGAAGAGGAGGGAGGAGGAGGAGGAGGTGGAGGAGGAGGAGGAGGACGAGGAGGAGGACGATCACGAGGACAGGAATGGCGGCGAGGGAGAGGATGCGGGGAAGAGGACGAGACTGACGACGACAACGACGACGACGACGATTCGACATCGATTCTGACTTCGACGACGTCGACTCAGGCTTTCGCCCAACAGCCGTTCGGGACGACCCGGGCACCCTCGCCGAGGCGCAGCTGCTTGAGAGCACCCCGAGGCTGGAAAACCTTCGCGAACCAACGAACACGTCCGAAAACCTCGAGCCGCGAACGGCAACGACGGCGGTCACCATTTCGACTTGGAATTCGACGGCGACGACAGCAGCGACGAAGGCGGCTCCAACGCAGTCAGGCAGCTTCCCCGCCCCCGAGGAAAGACGAGGAGAGGAGGAGGTGGAGGAGGAGGGGGAAGAAGAAGAGGAGGAAGAGGAGGAGCAGGAGGACAAAAGAGGGAGGAGGAAAAGGAGGAGGAGGAGGAGGATGAGGAGGAGGAGGGAAAAGGAGGAGGAGAAAGGGGATGAGCGAGGAGGAGGGGGAAGGAGGAGGAGGAGGAGGAGGAGGAGGAGGAGGAGGAGGAGGAGGAGGAGGAGGGAGGAGAGGGAGAAGAGGCAGGAGGCGAAGCATCGAAACCGATAAGAACGAACCCCCAAACCAACCCGCCCGCGACTGCACTGCGGCACTGCGAGGCGGCGAGGCAGGCGCCCAGCGGCGGCGGCGGCGGCCCGAGGGTCCGCCCGGGCCCCTGCAGCGCCACGACGACCACCGCCCCCGAGGCCGCCAGCAGGGCAGGCGGCTGGGAGCCTCGGCGCGGCGCGCGTGCGGGCGCGTCGCCGTCGCCGTCGTCCTCGGCCTGGCCTCCTCACCGACATCGTTTTCGCCACGCTGCTCGTCGTCGTCATCGCCGTCGTCGCCGTTGTCGTCGTCGCCGTCGTTGTCGCCCTCCTCCTCCTCCTCCTCCTCCTCCTCCTCCTCCTCCTCCTCCCTCTCCTCCTCCCCTCCTCCCTCCTCCTGCCCTCCTCCTCCTCCTCCTCCTCCTTCCTCATCCTACCTTTTCCTCCTCCTCCTCCTCCTCCTCCCTCCTCCTCCTCCTCCTCTCCTCCTCCTCTCTACCCCCTCCTCCCCCTCATCCCTGCCCCCCCTCCTCCTCCTCCTCCTCCTCCTCCTCCTCCTCCTACTCCTCCTCCTCCTCCTCCTCCTCCTCCTCCTCCTCCTCCTCCTCCCCTCCCCCTCCTCCTCCTCCTCCTCATCCTCCTCCTCCTCTCCTCCGCCCCTCCTCCTCTTCCGCCTCCTCCTCCTCATCCCTCCTCCTCCTCCTCCCCCCTCTTCGTCCTCCTCCCTCCTCCTCCTCCGACTCCTCCTCCTCCTCCTCCTCCGCTCCTCCTCCTCCTCCTCCTCCTCCTCCTGCTCCTCCTGCTCCTCCTCCTCTCCCTTCTCCTCCTCCGCCTCCTCCTCCTCCTCTCCTCCTTCTCCTCCTTCCCTCCTCCTGTTTTCCTCCTCCTCTTCGTCCTCGTGCGTCGTCCTCGTCGTCCTCCTCCTCCTCCTCCTCCTCCTCCTCCCTCCTCCCTTTCCCCCCCCTCCCTCTCCTCCCTTACTCCCTCTCCTCACCTCTCTCTCCCTCTCCGCTCTCTTCCTCCTTTTCCTCGCCTCTCCTCCCTTTCCTCCCTTCTCCTTCCTCTCCTCCCTAGCCCCCCTCTCCTCCTTTTCTCCCTCTCCTCCTCCTCTCACTCCTCCTCGCTCCTCCTCCTCCTCCTCCTCCTCCTCCTCCTCCTCCTCCTCCTCCTCCTCCTCCTCCTCCTCCTCCCTCGCCTCGCTCTCCTCCCTCTCCTCCCTCTCCTCCTTTTCCTCCCTCTCCTTCTTCTCCGCTCTCTCCGCTCTCTCCTCATTATCCTCCCTCTCCTCGCTCTCCTCCATCTCGTCCCTCTTCTCCCTCTCTTCCCTCTCCTCCTCAATCTCCTCCCTCTCCTCCTCCCCCTCCTCTTCCCTCCTCCTCCTCCTCCTCCTCCTCCTCCTCCTCCTCCTCCTCCTCTTCGTCCTCGTACCTCGTCCTCCCCCCTCCTCCTCCTCCTCCTCCTCCTCCCCTCCTCCTCCTCCTCCTCCTCCTCGTCCTCGCCCTCGTCCCTCGTCCTCGTCTCCTCCTCCTCCTCCTCCTCCTCCTCCTCCCTTTTCCTCCTCCTCCTCCTCCTCCTCCTCCTCGTCCTCCTCCTCCTCCCCCCCCTTCCTCCTCCTCCGGGGCTTCTGGGGCCGGAGCCTTTGGAAGGTCAATCCCGCAGCGGGCCGCAAGAGAGCCTAGACAATGGAAAGAAGAGGACCTGGAGGGGGGATCAGTGGACAGGGAAAGGGCGACCGACAAACTGCTTCGTCATCGGATTCTTCCCCATGTTGAGCTGCTCCAGCGCCCCCCCCAATCCCCCAGGTCCTGACTGCGGGCAGCGGGCGGCCAATCCTTTGGCCTGGCCAGTGGCGCACGCCCCGCACTTGTTGCAGAATAACGTGTCGCCCGCCACCCACGGTCTGTGGGATTCATGAGACCCACTGACAATCTTGGGGGCCCCGGGGCACGGCACGGGAGGCTGACAACTCGATCCCGACGGGCAGAGGGAACTCCACGCGTCCTGCAGCCCCAGAGCCCCCCTTCGTCATGGACAAGGTGACTTTTGTCACCTCTCACAAGCCTGATTGCAAGCGCAGGTTCACCCCCAAGCTGTCTCGGGGGCAAGCTTGTTGGATTCCGAATTCTAAATCTGGAAACCCTACTCGACCCAGCTGATACAGAGTACCCCCGAGCATCCTGGTGAACTGCTTGGCATACTCCTCGGCACTCCTCGAGCGTTCCTGACGGTGAGGGACCCCGGAATGCTGGATGGCCCCTAACTTCGCATACTTGCCAGCGAGGGCGTTGCCAGGGAACCACCGAGCATGATATCCTTTAATTTGAGCCACGTCCGAATCTTACGCGACGGCATCCAGACAACATTGACGTTTTGTCTCCCGGGTCCCGATGTCCTCGAGCTTCCGGAAAACCAATCTCCAAACTTCAGAACATGGTTGTGTAGGTGCGCGCATAATGTCAGGCCCTTTGTCCAGGCCCTCGACGAGGTTTGCGCGATCAGTGACAATCATGGACTCCGCGCCCATGAGGCATAAACACATGTACAGAGCGCAGTGCTCGGCCATTCCTGCGGACTGGACGGGTCCAGGAACGGGCCCATACATAACCGACGAAGCTTCCTCATTGGGCCCAGGAGCAAGGGGCACTGCGGCCCAGCCTGAACGCGCGCGCCACTCAACCGTCGGGTCGAGCCCCGAACCATTGATGAAGATTCGCCCCAGAGGTGTCCAGAGGGCCCAGGTCTCCAAACATACCCTGCTTCCAGGCCCTCAAGAGGCGGGGATTCATCTCTTCTGCTAGAAGTCACCCTATACTATGCTCCACGAGCGGGCAATGTCCAGCACCGTGGTAGGTCGAGCGCAACCCCCCCCGCATGTTGATCTCGCCGCCATGCAGCAAGTCCGTCGCAGACATGCAGCCTGTGTCCTATCGCCCCTGGAGCCTGCTGGCACCATAGGCATGTTGGGTACACCTCGCATCTTTCCAAGAACGACTTCGGCTGCGTCCAGAGGTCTCCACAACAATGAGCAATAACCAGATCAGCTTGAACGCCCCCCCCCCCCTCCCTCTGCCTCCCATCCTGCGCAGCATCTCTCGTGCAAGTTCGCAATGCAGGGCGTTGCTCCAACCGAGATTTTTAGTTGCTTGCAGTTCTGGAGTACGTCTAACCGCGCGGTGAACCAGCACCTCGAGCGCGCGGGTCCCCATGTTGGCGAGGTCCACTCTCAGGCCCCGGGGGCCCCTCCAGTGTGCGTAGTCATCCGCAGTCCATCCTAGTCTCCTGAACGTCTGAACGGCAGCGCCTGCTGGTCCCGTGACCATAGCCCATCCAAGATGAGTTGCTGCCGCGGCCGCGTAACAAAAACGTCTGTATGATGCTATCTGCGATCCATTGCTGGCGCAGCGCCGCCAGCCAGGTGATGGGCGGGAGCGTTTACGAGGTAGGCGGGGTCGAGGTCGGGGGGGTCGGCGAGGCACTGCGCAGCCCGAGATCCCCCTCTTGCTTTCCCAAAGAGCGCATATCCAGCTACGGCTCTGAGATCCTGGGGCCCCGAATCGTTCACCGCCAAGGCCCTGGGCGGCCCTGGCCCCAAGTGGCTGCCGCGACGCCGCCGCGCCGAAAGATCCTGGTGAGCCCTTTCTCGCGGTGCTTCGAGTGCTAAGGCCCAGCGAGGCGACCGGCGCGCTGACACCCCCCCCTTCGCGACAAGAGGTGCGTCGCGCATTCGTCGCCCGTGCGCCGCCCGTGCGTCGGCCGCCGAAAAGGCCAGCCGTCCTCTCGAACGCGCGCGTCGCCCTCGCAAGGGGACAATTTGGTGAGTGCGTCGCCGGCGCGGCGGACACCCGCGGGGCGGGTCGCGCACGCGTCGCCCGCTCCACGGCCGCTGAAAAGGCCGGTCGCCTTCGGGTAAAAAAAAGTCGCCCGCGCTGCGGCCCTCTCGGCGAAAAGAAGGCGGCCGCTGGGCTGCCTCGGCAGATCAGCAAATCCCTCTAACATTACAAATGCAGCGACGCTGCTGAACGCGCCCCGGCGCGACGCGCTGCGGCCTTGGGAGGGGGGCCGAAGGAGAAAAAAAAGGAGGAGGGGCGCGGGGTGGCAAGGGACAAAAAAGCAAAGACGAGAGAGGAGGGGGGGAAGGACAGACAGAGGGAGGCCGGTAGAAAGGAGGAGGAGAAGGGGGGGAGAGAGGGAGACGAGGCAGGAGGGGGGACGAAGGAGGAGGAATGACGAAAGAGGAGGGACGACGAGGAAGAAAAAGGGAAGGAACAGGGGCAAGCACCGACCTTCCTGGCGCAATGGAGGACGCAGCCGCCGCCACTTGCGAACAGCGCAAGCACGGCGGGCCGACGGCCGTTGCGCATTGCTGTTCGGCGAAATGCTAGGGGCGGGCAAAGTCGCGACTGCGCCGCGCATGCGTCGCGCGTGCGTCGCGCGTGCCTCGCGCGTGCGTCGCGCGTGCGCCGCGCGTGCGTCGCGCGTGCGTCGCGCTTGCTTCGCGTTCGTGGCGCGTGCGTCGCGCGTGCGTCGCGCGGGTCGCTCGTGCGTCGCGCGCTGGCACGGGTGCGTCGCGCGCGGGTCGGGGTGCGTCGCGCGCGCGTCGCGCGAGCGTCGCGCGCGCGTCGCGCGAGCGTCGCTCGGGTCGTTCGCGCGTCGCGCGCAGGTCGCGCGCGAATCGCTCGAAGGGCGCCGCGGGCTTCTGACGGCATGTGAACTGCGCGGCCCGCTGGCGAAACAATCGAGGGATGCGCGCGGCGATCGTAGAAATAGCAAGACACGCACGTGAGAACTACGAACGCGAGGAGACCAATAGACGACATGGAGATGCAGCTCGTGCGGACTAATCCATTTCGAGCGCACGCCCCGTCAGAATTTGAACATCGGTTCGTCGCTGCAGCAATTTGGCGACGTCTCGCCCGCCGATGCATTGGGGGGAAAAAGAGGATGGGAGTGAGGCGAAGGAAGGGCGGGCGGAAAAGGGAACGGACGGGCAGGGAAGGGGCGCGCGGGGGCGGCGCAGCGGCGGCGGGAGCGATGGAAGGCAATCGAAGCGGGGCGGCGGGAGCGAGGAGAGCGAGGAGGAAGTTCCAGGAGGGTGGAAGGACAACGGGGGTGAGTAGGGGGGGGACAGACACAAGCCTGACGCAAAAGAAGTGAATCCAAATTTCGCAAACGGGACAAAACGCGCAGCGCGTTGGACGAGGGGAAGAGGAAGGAAGAGGGGGGGGCAGGAGATTGGCGCGAAACGACATGGGGGCGCGGGGCGCGATGCGATGGGGCGAATTGGCGCCGCGTCGCGCGACGCGACGTCGCCCCCACCGTGGCGCGACTCCTGGTGCACCAGCGTCGGAAACCTATATATCGCCACAGAAATTCCGAAGTCGCGCCACATGTCGCCCACTCGCTCTGGGAGGCCGGGATTCGGGACAGAGACGCAAACCAGGGCCGGCGCACGGGCGACAATCGGGCGACGCACTGAACGAAACTTCAAGGGGGGGGGTCGCTTGACTGGGCCTTAACAGCTCCGAGGATCTAAAGCGATGGGCCCGCCTCCGAGCTCCAAAGACACGCGCCCGAAGCGCGCGCTTCTTCCTCCTCGCCTGCCCGCCGAAGTCGCGCCCCAAGTTCTTGACTGAGTCATGGGCCGTGAAACGCTACTTGGCCAGAATGTTCTGAAAGTCGCTGGCCAGCTGGCGGCGTGAGGCGCCGACTTGGCACTTCGGCACTTCTTGCGTGCGGCCACCATTCCCATGGCCTCCAGCCTGGAACAGATCTGAGGCGCTGCTGCTGAGATTGTGCCTTCAACATACCTCATGTGCCCCGTGGCTTCGAGCGCGGCATCATCAACCATGGCATAGCGCGCAAGAGATGCCCAATTACTACGCATGTACCCCGGCGAATCCTGGGGCACAGCTCTCAGCAGCGCGGTCGCAAATTTGCATCCCGCTATGATGGAACGCGCAATGTAGATCGAGCCTGACACGACTTCCATACTATAAATGCGCCGTGGCCCACCATATACTGTTAGAAGCAGTTTGATGCGGCGAAGACTAACCTTGTGTGCTTGACGCACGCATGCCACATAACACCATGAGGAATCTTCTCGTCGCACCTCCCCGTGTCAATTGGGGCAGATGCTGACGATGCTCCATTTTTTTTGCGCTGCTTTTCCATTTCCCCCCACATGTGCAATCTAGACGGTGATCTGCCTTCCAGTGATTAGCTTCTTGCCTCCCAAGCTTGCCTAGTGCCCGGGTAGCCGTCGCAAGAATACCTATAGGCCAATATTCACCATCCGGCTTCCTCAGGAACGCCATTAGGGCATGGTTGCACTGCTCCGGGGTCTAGGCGCGACTCTCTGCGCGAGAGAAATTGGCCGCGAACTGCGAGCTGCGAGCGGGGCTGGGTTTCACCCGTCAATACCAACTGCAGTGTTCTTCTTGAGCTTCTCAAGGGCTCCTCTAAGTTGGCCCACTGTGGGCGCTGGAGGGGGTTCTCCAAAAGGAAGGCCTAGATGTTCAGCAGTGAGACGCGACGGCCCCCCTTCGTGCCACATACTTTTCCACTCATCTAACATGGGCTCCATCACATCAACTTGCCCAGCAGGCCCCCCTTGGAGCCACTTGGGATCTGGAGCCCAGCCTACTGGTTCTTTTTGTATATTTAAATTCAGCACCACCACCCTTCTTGATCGAACCAGATACCCACTGACTGCAAATCTTGGCCCTGGTTTTCGTGGAACACGACCGAGCAACAGCGGCGAACCCCTGGGCCTGGCGCCCGAGCTCTTCCAGGACGTCGAGCTCCATTCCGACCCCTAGGACGATCTGAGAGTTGAATTCCTGCCACCCTGGAACTACCGCGAGGTGAGGCTGGGCACTGCATATCTTACTGACGATGTCCTGGACCCCCCCCTGGAGTCCCACCGATGCCCCTTCCTCCTCAGAAACCTCAGCTCCTCCACCCAGACGGCCAGCTTGCGGAGGGCTCTCGAGGCTCCACCCGTGACGTACTCCAAAACAGGCTGCGCAACAATGCGGTACCCAGGGTCTCTGCCAAAGTGCGGGGCACGGTCTGCTTCTTTGATGCCCAGCACGTCGCAGAGCTCGAGCTCCATCCAGCATGCTGCACATATCCGACTCGATAACGTTAATCCCAATTGTCGTCGGCCTCGAGTCGAACTCCTGGAGCCGATCAACAGTCACTGTCCAGTTCCTCGGCGGTGGTGGGGTCCAAGCTTAGCGGGCAACTCGGTTGGAAATGGCATCGGGAGCTTCAGAACCTGCTTAAACTGTTGATGGGCTTGGGTCCTCAAACAAGCTCCACTGAGTAGTGAATCTTGTTCTTCGAGTCATCAATCCGCCTACATCTCTGGACCGACCACACGAGGTCATGCGAAACGACGAAGAAATCCAGCTACCTCCAGGCTTGTCCGACACGGCAAGTAAGTTTATTGACATAGACCATAGACAACCGCTCCCCTCATCTTCCCAGGGAACGGAACATTCTGGGCTTCACTCGGGGTAGCGTTGAAATCTGCTGCAATGACGAAGGGCTTCTGAGGCGCAAACCAGAATTCACCCACCTGGCTCATCATCTGCCTCCCCTTCTGCCCCCCGACCCCTTCAACATCTGGGAAATACATGCTAGCGAGGTAATAGCCACCTCGAACGCAGCCGTTGACCCAAGCGATCGAGCTGCGCGCATGAACCGAATGTCTGTGGTACTCAACTGCTTCGCCTGCACCGGCATGGTGTTTGACAGCGATGCACACGCCTGCGGATATACCATCCTGCGGGGTCTGAAAAAAGGCACCTGGTAACCGTAGCTCCCATCCTTCACTAGGCATCACGGACTCCTTCTGCGCAGCTCCCGCTCTCAAAACGCCGCATTCCTGCAAACAAACAGCGTGGGC